ATTGTCTTTCATCTGAGCCCTACTTGAAAAATCGATGCACTTCCCCTTTAAACAAAATTTAAATTGGAGGCAAAGCGCGTGCCAGACCACCACCCTGTCACTGTGTAAACAATTCGTAACTGTGTGGAAGATGTCCTGGTAGCGTCTAGAGCCAGTAGAGGTGTATCACTTTGGAGTCGCATTGCCATAATATAGCCACATTGCCACATTGAAGTGTACATTTGGCACTACGCCTTTTGACTTCGGCCTTTTAATGCCATAATATCGGTAGTGGCTTCAGATGGCGGGGTTGATGGTGAAGAGACCAGGCCTTGCAATGCAGATGCACTGTACTGAAGTGTGCATGTGCTCCAGTATAGTAGTTACCACAAGCAAATAGCGCGAGTTCTTCGCACAGCAGTCAGCATCTGCCATGTCTTTCGGACGCGCCCCAAGTGTCAGCTACGATACAAGCTGTCCACAGACACAGGTGACAACACAACACCCTACGCTACAACCTAGACAAGCCGTGATCCATAGCTATTAATGTTTGTGGCTAGGCGCCCGGCGGATAGTGCTAGCTTTATATCTAGAATAATTAGCACTTTCTGAAAACTAGCATTAAAAGCAAAAAAAGGAATTATCCTGTCCGTTCTCGAAGGGAACTCACGACGGCCGGTAACACCCGGTAAACCCTAGCGGCAGATGCAGCGCCTAACGGTGGGAGTGAGTGGATAAGTTTCACAACCACTAGCACTAGCATTTCGCTAGCATACTCCCGCAAGTTTTGCAGAAAACTAGCATCTTCTTGCGAAAACTAGTACACAAGGCAGAACAACAGAGACCAAAAAGCTTTCTCGTTACTCCGAGTTTCGTGTTCAAAAACACTCGTCAGACGGATTAGTACATGACATTGTATCATATTATGGTTATGCTGCAAGATACATGGTGTTATGAATCTGAAACATTAGTCATCTATACTATTACATGTATTTCCATTTTTCGAAGCAGAATTGAAGCATTCAGTGCTACTTTGGAGCAGAATAGCATTCAGTTGGATTTTGGAGCATATTGAAAAGCAGAATCCATTGAAAAAATTCTCGAGCATTATCCGCTGGAGCCTACGGAAGAAAGTTGTGGCTACTACTAGTCCAACATGTAGATTTACGTTATAACTTCTTTATTCCTGGTATCTTCAGCAATTCCTGCGCCTTCTCAAGGCAATCCAGTAGATCTACTGTACAATGTCATACATTTTAGCTCTCACACGCCTGGATTGGTGGTTGCAGGTAGTCTAGAGCGCTGCTGGATCCGTGCTATCAATGCCTCGCGTTTACCCGACCACATGTCTGGCAGTTTTGACACTTGGCTTCTAAGATATGCACCCTCAGGCTCAGGGCAAGCGTTCGCATTTCTTGTCTCTGCTCACGTGCCGTGGTAGTTAGTTACAGCACATTGTATTGTAGTGTCAACATGACCTGAGACTGATATGAGGTCCGCGAGTGTGAATTGCCGCTCCACCTTCGCATCACCTGCAATAAAATGAATGAGTATGTCCCAATCCACATAGTCGTTTCCCTAGGGTAGAGGTGATTTTAGAATAAGGCTTAGATGCCTAGTAAACGTGCCTGTAAGTCCATCATAGTCTCAGGATCTGTCGTTGATACTCCTCTTCCTGAAAACAGAGCTGCTCAAGGACGCCGGAATCTTACTGGCTCCTCGACATCAACCTGGACAGCGGCTAGAGAGATCAGGTACGGTTTGTTTGTAAATCTTTCCCTGAGCCTCCCACTCGCAGAGCAAGTGCATGCGCGCTGTGTGTTGTTGGTCTTGCCCACCACACGGAAAATACGTGGAGAGACCAAAGGCGCAAAGGCGCAGTGTGGTACACTGGTAGCTTGGTGGGTCTAGGAAAGGCAGAGCCTAGCCCTGTCCTCTGCCGCTCTGGCACTACTATCCGGTAGTCTGTTACTCAGTCTGTGAGTCGACTGCTTTCTAGTCATGTTTTGCCCGTGAGGCTGTGTATGTGTATCATGTGTAACACGTTGTGTATCCAGTTTCGCGGTGTCCGTGCTGTAGCTGTGACGCGAGGCGCTTTGTAAGCCCCACCACCAAAGCACCATGGCCCACACCAGGAGTCGTAGAGAGCAGGGAGCAGTAAAATAGTATTTTTTAAATACTCCCTGGTAGAGAGTGTCTACGTAGATTTACAACTCCCTGCCCCACACCAACAGGCAACACACACACACACACACACACACACACACACACACACACACACACACACACACACACACACACACACACACACACACACACACACACACACACACACACACACACACACACACACACACACACACACACACACACACACACACACACACACACACACACACACACACACACACACACACACACACACACACACACACACACACACACACACACACACACACACACACACACACACACACACACACACACACACACACACACACACACACACACACACACACACACACACACACACACACACACACACACACACACACACACACACACACACACACACACACACACACACACACACACACACACACACACACACACACACACACACACACACACACACACACACACACACACACACACACACACACACACACACACACACACACACACACACACACACACACACACACACACACACACACACACACACACACACACACACACACACACACACACACACACACACACACACACACACACACACACACACACACACACACACACACACACACACACACACACACACACACACACACACACACACACACACACACACACACACACACACACACACACACACACACACACACACACACACACACACACACACACACACACACACACACACACACACACACACACACACACACACACACACACACACACACACACACACACACACACACACACACACACACACACACACACACACACACACACACACACACACACACACACACACACACACACACACACACACACACACACACACACACACACACACACACACACACACACACACACACACACACACACACACACACACACACACACACACACACACACACACACACACACACACACACACACACACACACACACACACACACACACACACACACACACACACACACACACACACACACACACACACACACACACACACACACACACACACACACACACACACACACACACACACACACACACACACACACACACACACACACACACACACACACACACACACACACACACACACACACACACACACACACACACACACACACACACACACACACACACACACACACACACACACACACACACACACACACACACACACACACACACACACACACACACACACACACACACACACACACACACACACACACACACACACACACACACACACACACACACACACACACACACACACACACACACACACACACACACACACACACACACACACACACACACACACACACACACACACACACACACACACACACACACACACACACACACACACACACACACACACACACACACACACACACACACACACACACACACACACACACACACACACACACACACACACACACACACACACACACACACACACACACACACACACACACCTCAGACCTCAGACCTGCCCATCGCGGAAGCGATGATAGCGAACAGCTATGTTAGACATAGGAACTTGACACACACCTCAGACCTCAGACCTCAGACCTGCCCATCGCGGAAGCGATGATAGCGAACAGCTATGTTAGACATAGGAACTTGACACACACCTCAGACCTCAGACCTCAGACCTGCCCATCGCGGAAGCGATGATAGCGAACAGCTATGTTAGACATAGGAACTTGCCACACACCTCAGACCTCAGACATGCCCATCGCGGAAGCGATGATAGCGAACAGCTATGTTAGACATAGCAACTTGTGAGAAAAAGACACAATTCGGTGGCCACCGTTACTTGAGCTAGCAGGTTTGTGCGCTGTCCAGTAGTAGCGTCGCGATTCCAGGAGATGAGAATGATTTCAAGCAGATCTAGCACACAACAGTCATACTCCTAGTTATGGAGCTTTCTTCATATCACGGCGACATCTGCTCGTTGAGGATCTAATCGTTGTCCAAATCTGAATAATCAACGCAGTGTGAGTGTCGAAATTCCAAAATAGTCGTCATGCTCATTACGAGCAGTGGAGTTCGGGTTTGACTTTCCATCCATTCTTTGTTGTGAAGCTACTACCAGTAAACTGTATTACCTTAGGAGTACTAAACGACTTACGTCCAGCTTCTAAAGGACTATGTTCAGGTTTGGGAGAACTAATTACTTAGAATATTAACTTCTAATTACTTAGAAGTCGATTCATGTCACTCAGTGTTCCGTACCAGCGATGTGGTCTCAATGAGGTGCATCAAAAAGCCATGGAGGCAGGTGGTCTCCTGGTGGGTTCCCTCACACTTTGTGGCGTGGGTAGGATGATGAAGGACACTCGCTCGCGGTGAGTCTGGAACTTGACTCCTGAGTGAGTTCTGACTTCTCTCGAGCCAGTTATTATTATGAATGAAGTACATTGATTTCTTAGCCATATCACTCAGTCACTCCAGGAACTTCTCCCCCCCCCCCCCTCCCCCTCCAAACTACACACACGAAGTGGCGTAGCATAGCTCGCCGCTATCTGTGGTATTGTGACCATGTGCCAGAGCACCTTGGTTGTGTGGTAAAATGCACCACCGATAACCTCACCATAGGCACATCTTTGTCTATTTTGACTATGCAGTACTTGGTCTCTACTCGTATGACGCCCATTTGCGGTTGCGGTGACCAGACTACTCTGAATACACACGTAACACACGTACTATGTGCCTGCACACACACACACACACGCACATACACACACACACACATACACACACACACAGTGAAACATACTTGAAGTACACACACACACACACACACACACACACGCATACACACACACACACACGCATACACACACACCAAAAGTTGAGGGCATGGCACTCGGTGCTCAGCACATGGCCAATGTGCCAAATGCTAGCTCCACAGTGCTCCTCTTGTGCTGCTGTTTGAATTTCTGCCTTTGGAACAGTATATACAGCGAGAAAGACTGTATGTTAGTCACCCACCTCATTTAGTCCTGGCCTGATTTTTAAGGATTTGAAGGTCAGAATTGGATACTCAGAACTTGACATACTTAGGCAATATTGCCCGCAAGCGCTTACTAGTAGTAGTTTGCGTGAGCTAAAAGTTTACCTGATTTGAAAAAATCCAAGCAAAATCCCTGAAATTGATGTGGCACGTATTTTAGACAGGCGGTAATGAAAGACCAGCCGCAATTCCAGTAAAGACCGTAGATGCGATGCTGAAGGTTTCTTCAGTGGTGATATGTCTGATCACATGGTTGCCCTTGACTTGGGGTGCCTCTGCCAGCTCTAGTGATACGGGCAGTGAATGATTCATTGACAAGGGTCGACCCTCCCCCCCCCCCCCCGTCAGTCGCACAGCTAACAGCAAATACCCTATGATGCAGCTCACCAGATTAATGCTCTGCTTCGCAGTTTGGAAATACATTCTCCGTGCCCCATCCTCAGAATTTGTTGAGAAGGACAATTGTGCTCTCAGAAGACCGATAAATAGGTACCATCTTTCATGGGAGACTGGCTGGTGACCTAGTCTGCACTAATGCAAGCCATGCAGGGTTCTAGCCAGGACAACATGGTGTGTGGGGGGGGGGGGCAGGGGCAGTTACCTCGTAACACATTTTCCATTTTCAAAATAACTGTCTTGCAATGCGAAACGCAACGTACGGGGCGAACACCTGACTTCACCCCAGACAAAGGTGCATTTATGAACTCAGAAGTACTGACTATCGACTTCATTTTCGTTGAATGGCAGTTAAAAAAAAAAAAAAGGAAATGAGTAGGGGCGGCACTTTTTCACAGGGAGCGGGGGGCGCAAACAGAGTAGGGGAGCTGCGCCCCCTACCCCCCCCCCCTTTTTGGCTAGAACCCTGGCATGAGAATTGAGCATCCGTAAAAATTTGCGCCAAGGCAAAACAAGCCCACAGATATAGGCTGTCTCCGACCCATGTGAAAGCTATTTTTATGACATCATGCTTGATTAAGCTGTGTTCACAACTGGCGCATGCACGAGAGGAATCACGCGTGTGTGTGTGTATTTTACTGGCCTTCCAGGTATTTTGGATGTGGAAACGCTTCAAAATGGAATTCCGTGTATTTTTCAGCGTATATCAGGCGCATAATGACGTGTATGCCAGTATGCGCTGTGACTGGCACGTTTGCGGTTCACGCGTGTCTAGACACGTATTCAGACTTCCCAAAAATCTACTTTGGTCGTATTTTAGGTCATGTGAGGTCTTCAAGTACTTTTTTGACCCTGCCAGTGCCCCCCCCCCCCCCCCCCGCTCCCTCCCCCTCCCCCAAGCCCTTCTATTTTAGTCCTGCCCTACCGCAAGTCTACTTTCATGGCTGATGCTAGCATGTTCCCTACCGCGAGAGATTTCTAGGCTCATTGTTTTCTTCATCCCATGGATCCAGGTTTTCTTATCTTAAATCTTTCTCCCTTTCCATCGCAATCATAACATTGGGCAGGATTGTCCGCTTGATTTGGGATGTAAAGTTAATAAGAACAAATACAATACAAAATAGTCACAGTGCCGCAAACGCCCTGCGTACATGCACAGAATCTGAACACAGCTGTGCACATCAAGCCGTTGGTGTGGACCAAGGTTGGGCAAAGTATTTCACTGCATTCGATTCTTTGGGACGGTGCGCATAAAATGACTGTAATGCAGCTGCGTGTGTGTGCCGTTGGCATGGTGTCCTGTGTTGTCTTGTCTTGCAGGTCTGAGTGGACGCCAAGACACAATGGTGGTGCATTGTGAGGTGTTGTTCGTGGCTGTCTGCATTCTCTTGCTGGGTCCCAGAGCGGGCCACTCACAGTTCAGCCAGAGTCCAGATCTGACTGTTAAATGTAAGTGAGATTGCTTGTGGCGGAATGGGTGAACAACTTCATGCGAAATAGTTATATGAGTGCATGAAATGGAGCTCAGGTCAGGTGAAAATATTAAGCCAAAGAACTTGTAGCTACTTGTTAGAGTGAGATTCTAAAGTACTATAGACCTCTAGACTTTGTCGAATAATTCAAATTTGGTTTGAAGCTCTGGAGATATGTCTTCTGGTTATTGCGCCGGAAGTTCCCCCGATTTAGATTTCTAATATAGATTTCTAGGCGATTGGATAACGAACGCCCAATTTCGGAAATTTTACGCACGAAATGATCACAGGTTTTATGGGGTGTATGTCTACCGGATGATGGCCTAACGGTTTATTGAAACCAAATATCTATACTTTTGAAACGCACTATAGGCCATCGAAAGTATGCTCATCCTCACTTGCCAAGACCAGGTCAAACTATAATACAACTTGCCCGGTAGTCACTTGTCAGGCATGGTGGTGGCCTGGCACGAGCGAAACTTCCTCAGCTGGTTGTGTTTATCAGCACAATTGCATAGCCGGTGGCGACGTGGATGTTCAAACTTTACTTCACTTTACTTGTTAGGCCGATAAATATGGTGGTAAAGACACACCTGGCAATATGGTGGTAAACACACCCCTGCCCACACACGCTTTCCAAGCTGCAAAGCTCTGGCACAGAGCTCTCCTTCTCACCACCACCACCATCAGTTCGCGCCTGGCGCCTCGTCGATGCATGGTTGGCGGTATCCGACATAGCAGGCTGGTACATCAAGTAGCGCATGGTACATAGAAGATGTCATCAAGTAGCGCATGGTACATAGAAGATGTTAGGCCACTACAAGTAACCTAATACCAACACACCAATATGTAGAAAGGAAAAGGACATATGGAAACGAGTTAAGAGTAACTCTCCACCACTAACTAGATACTATATACAGTCAGAAAGTGCAACAACTAGGCACAAAACTGACAGAGGACTGAGACATTCGACGTCCTGACACCTAGCTTCAACACATCTCCGTACATCTGACTGTATATAGTATCTAGTTACAGTGGTGGAGAGTTACTCTTAACTCGTTTCCATGTGTCCTTTTCCTTTCTACTTTTATTATTGGCTCAATTCCCGAGTTTCAAATTACACCAATATGTATTTTTTTATTTCGCCTTCTCCTCCAGCTTTCTGGCACTGTCGTTGCACTGATGTCACCTACGAGCTGGTCGGCTATCAACTCTCCGATCCGACGTCGACTTGGGACGAGGAGGTGCGTGACCATGAAAATGCGTACGGCGACTGTGCCGACAATGACTTTGGCCTGCCAGAGGTTGGCCTCTATGACCATGAGTGCCTGAGAGACTTCCACACCTTCCTGGTCAACCACTACCAGATAGCGGCCGACACGAGAATCTGGATGCGGGGCGCACACTTTGCCAAAGGTACCGAGTGTAGCGTGTTCGACGGATCACAGGTAATCAGCAACTATAACTGTTCATGGCCCAATGCATACGTATGCCAGGGCGAGGACCCACAGAAGATGCGTAAGTGCATGGTTGCATCCACTCCGATGTGTATTCGTACCTCATAGAATAGAGTGGTTTCACATGTGTTGTCATGTGACAGAACTTGTGTAGAAAGTGATCATGTCATGTGATCAGTGGAATCAACATGGCCGACATCATGTGACCCATAGATGCAAGGGTTGACTGGAGTAGGAACCAACATGGCCGACATCATGTGACCCATAGATGCAAGGGTTGAGTGGAGTAGGAATCAACATAGCCGACATCATGTGACCCATAGATGCAAGGCAGGGAGTCGTAAAAGCCCGGGAGAGGACACGGGATGCGCGCACGCGGACGATGTTTGCCTCGGCCAGAAAGTGAAGCACGCTAGGCCGGCGCGGCCGGATCTGCTCGATCCACGGCGCTGTGCTTGTCTTCAGGGCAGGGAGTCCTAAAATACCAATATTTTACAACTCGTTGTTGACACCATTATCCGAAACTGGTGGCGAAGGAAGGATAAACATGATTGTATGTCTGTCAGACTCAGTACAGGGGTGGGGAGTTGAGTGTGTGTGTGTGTGTGGGGGGAAGGGGGGAGGGGGGGGGGGGGAGGCGTGTGTATGTGCACATGTGCTTGTACTTTTGTGTGTGTTTGTACAGTGTTTGTGTGTGTGCTTGTGTGTGTGCGCGCGAACGTGTGTGTGCATTTTTGTGCACAATTCCGTTATGAAGTACAAATGATAGGTTTACCTTTTGTACACTCGCCAAGACTTCCGTTTCCTAAACGGCTCAAGTCACCGCGTACTCAGTATACGAGTAGAAAAGTGTTGAAATTATCAAGATTTATAAATAACGACCTGCAACCATGTACAATGTAGATAGATAGGGAACACACATTGATTGTTTTTAAAAGAATCCAGGCATTATCATGAATCATGGAACGAGTGCGTAATAATGCGTAATAATGCTCTATGTTGCGTTTTGACGGTGCTGAAGGAAGGGAGCCGTCGCGATTTACTCACAGAAGTCCACTCGACTGCAATTTCTGACACAAATTCATAAATCCACGAGTACGCCGAGGAAGCTCAGCGGATCTCCACAAGAACTTTCGCCCATCGCCTGCAATGGAATATGGGCTGTATGATACGACCAGTGGTTAAGACGGGAAGTGGCGTCATTTTCCACAAATCTCGTTTCATTCACAACCATTTGACTGCAATTCAGTGCAATTTCTGCCGCAAATTCAACTCCACGAGTACGAGGAAGCTCAGCGGATCTCAACACGAACGTTCGCCCATCACCTGCAATGGAATATGGGCTGTATGCTACGACCAGCGGCTAACACGGGAAGTGGCGTCATTTTCCACAAATCTCGTTTCATTCACAACCATTTGACTGCAATTCAGTGCAATTTCTGCCACAAATTCAACTCCACGAGTACGAGGAAACTCAGCGGATCTCAACACGAACGTTGGCCCATCACCTGCAATGGAATATGGGCTGTATGCTACGACCAGCGGCTAACACGGGAAGTGGCGTCATTTTCCACAAATCTCGTTTCATTCACAACCATTTGACTGCAATTCAGTGCAATTTCTGCCACAAATTCAACTCCACGAGTACGAGGAAACTCAGCGGATCTCAACACGAACGTTGGCCCATCACCTGCAATGGAATATGGGCTGTATGCTACGACCAGCGGCTAACACGGGAAGTGGCGTCATTTTCCACAAATCTCGTTTCATTCACAACCATTTGACTGCAATTCAGTGCAATTGCTGCCACAAATTCAACTCCACGAGTACGAGGAAACTCAGCGGATCTCAACACGAACGTTGGCCCATCACCTGCAATGGAATATGGGCTGTATGATACGACCAGCGGCTAACACGGGAAGTGGCGTCATTTTCCACAAATCTCATTTCGTTCACCCCAACTCAAATAAAAGTGAAGTACAATTAGGGATTTGTCTTGCATTTCCATCGCCTCAGAATAAATTAACTTCGATAAACTGAGAGAGAATGAGTGAGGCAGCTGGAAGGTGAGGATGAAAATAGAGATCAGAAGACTCGACGGAGCAATCGTCTCCGTGCTCTAAGAGAAATCGGAGAATGTCCCAATTAGTATTTCAAGAAGACATCACAATTTTCGAAAATAATTATTATTTCCTTGCCTCGCAACACCGTTCCCTGGCAGCGTTCCCCGGCAGCGCGAGGCAAAGATGTTTTCTGGGAATGTGTGCCGTGTCCTCTCCCGGGCTTTTACGACTCCCTGATGCAAGGGTTGACTGGAGTAGGATTCAACATGGCTGACATCATGTGACCCCTAGATGCAAGGGTTGACTGGAGTAGGAACCAACATGGCTGACATCATGTGACCCCTAGATGCAAGGGTTGAGTGGAGTAGGAACCAACATGGCTGACATCATGTGACCCCTAGATGCAAGGGTTGAGTGGAGTAGGAACCAACATGGCTGACATCATGTGACCCCTAGATGCAAGGGTTGAGTGGAGTAGGAACCAACATGGCCGTCATGCATGGTCATGTGATGGATGTGAAACCACTCTGTTGTTGTGAAGGAGAGGAAACACCAACAGCTCACTCTGGTTCGGCTACCCGACAACTAACCCTGAAGGGCTGTCATCCTTGTTATTTTATCTTGGTGTGTAAAGTTGTACAATATGTGAGTACTAGAAAAGGTACCGGTAGTATGGGAAGTAGTACGCAGCATGCTATTCTAATGTCATATATGGACAGGTGTAAATATGAGGATGTGAAGGTTATAGTGATATGTATAGGGATATTTAATGGCACCAAATAATATAGTTCCAATATCATCACACCATTCCCCTTCTCCGGTCACAGATACCATCGGTGACAATGACTAAACGAGAAACAATAGATAGAGGATGTAATGGCACTAAGGGATATAATTGTACAATAGTATCACAGTTCTCCCATCCAAGCTCATAAGTATGTGAATCAGGGATTTTTTCCTATCCAAGCTGACGTGTGATCCATGGTAACAATGCTTTGACCTATTCATTCAACCAGCAAAAGACCATGTAAAACCAGAATTCAACAATGTCACATGGGGTGCCACCGTTTTCTTGCATATCCAATTTGTGAACGCAAAACAACCTATTTTCCTTTTCAACATCCTCAAGTGATGAATATTTGATACAGTGGGCTCCCAGCGGACTAGTTTGTGCGTGAAGTGTGTGTGCGCACAGTATGTGCTGCATCCAAACAGCCTGTTGAGGGTCACAGGAAGCATGAGTTTCAAAGTCTCAAGAAAATGTTCAAAGGCCTCTGCTAGGGCTGACGGCTACACCGTAGCTCAGTGGTTAGAGCACCGCTGGCCTCAAGCAAAGGTCCCTGGCTCGAGTCCTGGTGGTGACAGTGGGTTTTTTCTTCAGATCTCTTTTCAATATTCTCAAAATGATGAACGCCGGATTTCCCCTAGTCAGTTTCTGGTTTTCTACTTTTACCTTTTCTGTGCCTTGGCAGCTTTCGATTCATTTGATGAAGCCCCAGCAGCACCTGATGTAGAGATCACGCCTGCAGACACAGTGGTGTACGTTGCGTTTGTCAACGACACCGCCTGTCACGAGAATTGCGTGACAGTTACGACGACGAATCAGACTGGAACTTTCTCAACGGAGGTATGCAGCTCACATAGCATTGTGCCGGTTCCCCAGTTGAAGAAACAGGCAACGTACACAATCACTGCTTTCACCAAGGCAATACGTCAGTCGTCTTTCTTGCTCTCCAACCGCACATCACCCGTCACTGTCACTACACTATCTGCTGGTAAGAACTCTGAACACAGGGATATTACACAATGTTATAACCAGTCCGGGTTGTATGCCTGCACTGCATCCCTGCACATTGTGTCTGAACTTTGGTAGATTCAAAGCGCCACAAAACAAACTGTTCTTGGATTTGGTGCTGAGACTGGCAATTTCTCTAAACACAGATCTGGAAGCAAGCACTACCTGTACGAATAATAGCAAAAACGTCGAAAGTGCCTAGTGTAGTAGAATCCCCCCCCCCCCCCGTACCCTTGTAGGAGGTCTCGATCTGGGTGTACAAATAACTGATCACTGAGTTCAGAAAACCCTGCTTTGCAGCATGAGCATTGGATGAGTGTAGTTGCTGTAATATCCGATGCCCGTATTCTTACTTGTACTCTGAGAATACTTTTTCCTTCTTCTACGTGTAGCTCTGGAGGCAGACAAACAGTTTGTTTCCCCCTTGTTTCCACTTTGCCTGATTCTCCCATAAGTCTGACTTTGGTGCATTACGCCCATACTTGTTCTATTTGTCTCTCATCTGTTACGTCACTCATGAATAAACCCCACGCACTCCTCCCCTTTCTTTTTGTTTATCTCTCTTCTGTTTCCTTGCTTGTTCTCGTTATCTCTCTCTTGGCCTCTGTTTTCCTTTCACTCTATCTCCATCTCTCTCTCTCCCTCTCTCTCTATCTCTCTATCTCTCTCTGTCTGTCTCTGTCTCTCTGTTTGTCTGTCTCTCTCCCTCTCTCTCCCTCTCTCTCTCTCTCTCTCTCTCTCTCTCTCTCTCTCTCTCACTCACTCACTCTTTCTCTCTCTCTCTTTCTCTCTCTCTCTCCCTCTCTCTCTCTCACTCTTTCTCTCTCTCTCTTTCTCTCTCTCTCTCTTTCTCTCTCTCTCCCTCTCTCTCTCTCTCTCTCTCTCTCACTCTTTCTCTCTCTCTTTCTCTCTCTCCCTCTCTCTCTCTCTCTCACTCTTTCTCTCTCTCTCTTTCTCTCTCTCTCTCTCTCTCTCTCTATCTATCTATCTGATTATTCTCTATCTTTCTCTCTTCCCTATCTCTGTGCAGTCACCTCACCACAACCGAGTCCACCCAGTGGTGTGACGATCGATGCTGCGTTCGCCAGAGCTCTTCAAATCTCCTGGATTGCACCCAGCAGCCCTGCAATCGTTGCGTATGATGTGACAGCAGAAGGGACTTCCCCACTCTTCTCCCATACTGATCACATTGGCAAGATAGCACCTGGCAGGAGTGTGACGGGGACGATTCTGGGTGATCTAGTCCCATACACCAACTACACGGTCACTGTCTCTGTCATCACTACTGCAGGTCAAAGCCAGCTCTCCAGCTCGGTGTCCATGTTCACATTGGAGGATGGTTAGTTAATGCTTTAGCATATCAAAGCAAGCACCAGGGTCCTGCAACATTACGCTCGGCGGAGCATTGTTTTACATCGCATGCAACATTCCAATTTTCCAGCCATTGCAAGAAAGGCTGATTTGTGCAGTCGATGTGGGGATGCATCGGGTCATGTTGGGGGGGGGGGGGGGGGTGGCGAAGGAGGTGAATGAAGGGAGCAGCAGAACCAACCAGACAGACAGGTGTATAATGCCAGTGGCTGCTGCTCTAGGATTTCAAACCAACTGGTTACACGTCTACTTGTCAGTGTCACACCGGTCTTCCGACCGGGTCAGAGCCGGGTACGTTCAAGTGCAGCAAGTACTCGACATCATGTTCATCATGGAGTCATGAATATTTTACTACTCCTTGGTACAGAGGTACAAAAAGTACTCGATATGTCATGCATACCCCCAACCTGGTCACAGGTGACCCGGTGTTCTCTTTTCATACAGGTCAAAGTACCCCCAACTGGGTGACTAACCCGGCTGACCCGGCTTTGGAGTATACACTGAATGTACATCCCATGCTCATATGGTACAGGGACAAGCTCTGCCCCCCCCCCCCCCACCCCACTCTGTATTTCATGATTATTCAATTTTAATGAAGTTGAGAACTGTACCATTTGGCTGTTCAATAATGTAGCAATCTCTCCTCCTCTTCTCCTCCGTGAGCTCTCAGCCAACTGACTACCCTTAATAACCATTACACACACCAATAATTCAACGAAGAGATTACAGGCACTTTGTGACTGAAGAGAAGAGATTGTTCCATTATTCAATTTTGATAACTTACCTCACCTCTGAAGTATGCATTGGCTCGTCAGCACAACCAGCCCAGTGAAATGCTGTTTTCTTATCTAACGTAAGGTGTTGCTGAACATGCACATGTGCACGTACATGTATGGGCTCGGGCATGTGTGTGTGTGTGTGGTGTGGTGTGTGTGTGTGTGTGTGTGTGTGTGTGTGTGTGTGTGTGTGTGTGTGTGTGTGTGTGTGTGTGTGTGTGTGTGTGTGTGCGTGACGGTGGGTGTCTGTGGTGTGAGTGTGTGTGTGTCTGTGGTGTGTTTGTGTGTGTGTGTGTCTGCGGTGTGTTTGTGCGTGTGTGTATCTGTGGTGTGAGTGTGTGTGTGTGTGTTTGTGCGTGTGTACACGTGTCGGTATGTGTTGCTTTTGTTTGTGTGTGCGCGCGCTTGTGCATTTATGTTCATCCACCATGTCATCTAGCACCATCAGCCGGACCAGACATCGTTGGAGCCCACGCAAACAGCAGCACATCCGTGAACATACGCTGGACTCCTGTTCCTCCTGAACTGCGTAACGGTGTGATCATAGGCTACTATGTGCTGGCCGAAGCTCTCAACGTCGACAGCGAACACCTCTATGAGATCCGTGACGGTGATGCGTTGGAATTCCACATACCCAATCTCATCACGTACCAGGACTACTTATTCGCTGTGTCTGCAGTAACGAGTGCAGGAGCAAGCCACTGGGGCCAGCACATCTTCATGAATGTAGATCCCAATGGTAAGTAAGATACTGCTCTACGTACTGCTGAATTCGACAAATGTTCGGCGCGTGTAAATTTCGGCCTCCCAGGGCTAAAATACATTTCGGCTGAATTGAAATTTCGGCCTCCCAAGGCTAAAACAAATTTCGGCTGAATTGAAATTTCGGCCTCCCAGGGCTAAAACACATTTCGGCTGAATTGAAATTTCGGCCTCCCAGGGCTAACACACATTTCGGCTGAATTGAAATTTCGGCCTCCCAGGGCTAAAACACATTTCGGCTGAATTGAAATTTCGGCTGAATTGAAATTTCGGCCTCCCAGGGCTAAAACACATTTCGGCTGAATTAAAATTTCGGCCTCCCAGGGCTAAAACACATTTCAGTTGAATTGAAATTTCGGCCTCCCAGGGCTAAAACACATTTCAGTTGAATTGAAATTTCGGCCTCCCAGGGCTAAAACACATTTCGGCCGAATTGAGATTTCGGCCTGTATTGCATACTGCCGCTTCCCGTATATAGCACACAGTCACACTGAGCCTTGCAAAACAAAATGTCGGCCGCAAGAATTTTTCACCTAAAAATGCCCAAGCCGAAAATACTGTTACCGAAAGTACAAAAATAGATATGTGCCGAATATGTGTTGACTTACCTAACTCTGAATACTACATCCATGAACTGGCCTGGCGGAACTGGTCCAGTCGGTCAGACCATGGCCGGACCAACGTTTTCGCCACTGACGCGTGTTTGCTGCTGGTTAGGTCAGGACTGTGTATCCGCCATATCATACACAACGTATGAACGACTAGGGTATGGCCAGACCAACCTGCGCATATACGACCATGGTCTTATATGCGCGAGATTACGGTACACAGTCTAGTGCTTGTGATAGTGGAGTAGTGCAGGCCTACATTCTGCCATGCTAGAAAGTCACCTCACCACCACTAAAATAGGGAAGCAAAGTTGATGAGTGCTTCTGGTGATGAGATCATCCGCATTGGTTTGGTCATGTTTTGTGTTATTGCCTGCAGATCCTCCATATGTACGTCCGACCACCTCAGCCCCCAGTAAGTGTGTGTGTGTTTGTTTGTGTGTGTGTGTGTGTGTGTGTGTGTGTGTGTGTGTATGTGTGTATGTGTGTGCTGTTCTGTGACATGTACCTGTAGGTGCTTGATCATTTTGATGGCTTTCTAGTGTAGCAGAATGAAGAGCTGGAACCTGAATGTGAACTTTTAACAAGTGAAATGATAATTTCAATGTCCACTGACTGCATCCAAACTCACAAGTCTGACTACTACCCACGGTATATTTAAAATACTTTGCTCTGTTTTAGAGGAACTGACGAAAGTGAAGATTGTATTTCATGAACATGGAGAGCGTGTGTTGCTTTTCGAAGCAACATTTCGCGCCACACCCTTTGGAGTGAAGTGACTTCCACTTTGCATTTCTCTTTCTCTTTGGCCTCAACTTCTTTCTTGTCCGGTTGGCGATGGCAGCCGTCGTCTAGGGCCGATGTTATCCATGCCATGCACCATAACAGATGCGGTTCTACATCTCTTTCACCGAAGTCGCGCAGTAAAGTCGAGGCCAGTGTCTGATGCCTGACTCAGTCGTGTAAGCCAAGCTAGCCTCACTCATCCAGAGCAGTCTTTCCCTTTCTACAAGTACAAAATTACTACACGTATGTGAGCATTTCTAATTTATCCTGCCTTACTTCTTGCTATTTGTGCAGCATTGCCCTCACCCACCACACCACCACCAACAACCAAGTCACCTATGCAATATATGAGTAAGGATACCATGATGGCTGGATGACTTCTTGATCACTCAATAACTGTGAACACTAAAGAATCCTCTACAACCAACAACAGTTGTTCAATTCATATACAATGATTGCCAATCAGTCAACGCCGTAATTTACACAGATGTTTGTACTGTGAAGAGAACATAATTTGAACAAACGGCGAGGAGACAACAATTTGATAACCGCAATCAGTAATACAAGCTGGATCGACATTTGTGTACACTGTATTCATGTATTGTAAAACTGTGGAGACAATGTGCAATAAAACGATGAAAAATGTGAAGAAATTGTGTAGAGAAATAAAGGGATTCAAACAAGTTTTCGTACAACACTCATCAGGAATCTTCGTTGTACTAAAGGACACTGAAAACAAAATTGAACTATTATAGAAAATCTAAGTTAGAGAAATAACACTAAGAACAACAGCAGTGAAATTTACAAGTGTGAATTTTAACAATGAAAGCGAGAGCAATAACGAATATGTGTACTAACACTAAACTTGCAACTGAAAAGTGAACAAAGAAGAGAAAGAAAGAAGGAAGGACAAAGTGATAACAAATAACAGCAGTACATTACACCTAGAACATTAACGGCCAAGCTTGGCCGCACCAAACATGACACTTTACTTGAACAATTTCAACCCAATTATACTATCTTTCTGTACACAGAAATTAGGCTTATACAGACGCTGACAGATGGCTTCCAAAACCTTTAACTGTAGTCCATAACCATGACGACCACGGCACAATACAGTGAATGAAGAGTCGGAATACGAATTGCAACAATCAGGACTAGCCAACAGATGATTGTACAATTTCTTCACATTTTTCATCGTTTTATTGCACATTGTCTCCACAGTTTTACAATACATGAATACAGTGTACACAAATGTCGATCCAGCTTGTATTACTGATTGCGGTTATCAGAACATAATTTGTGTGAAATTTCTTCTAGAGCCATGGGTTCCTACTACATGTACTGAGTTGCTGCCGCTGCTTGGTCACATGACTTCATTCCCACTGTGTAGGGTTTGCGTAGGTAATAACTCTTTACCCATTACATCCCAACATAAACCACGGGACATGCACCGTGTTTGCACCAGTTGTACATAGGGGTTTGCTTCACATGGTTTTGTGAAATATGTGAATCACGCAGCTACCTCGCCCAAGTGTTGATCTACTGCATAGAATTTTACCACGTCCTCTACCGTTGTTGTAAGATGAAACAAGCGGTCGTGTCTGCAGAACACTTGCAGATGTATCGTGCTTCCCTTGCAAAGGACAAACATTGTATGTATGTGTGTGTGCATGTGTGTGTGTGTGCGTGTGTATGTGTGTGTGTGTGCTTGTGTGTATGTGTGCATGCGTATGTCTGTCTGTGTGTGTGTGCCTGTGTGTGCATATGTGTTCTTGTTTGCATGCATGGTCTGTGTGTGTATGTATGTGTGCATGTGTGTGTTCTTGTGTGCATTTGTCTACATGTCTGTTCCCAGCAAGCATAGCTGACTCAACAGATGAAGACCAGAAGACGCGTGAGCCTGACAGTAAGTGAATGTTATTGGAAGCAGGTGCTGTTATTGCTGCAGAGCAGTCGGATAAACGATTTTTTTTAATTATCGTGTCTGTTCGAGAAGGGAACTCACGACCGCCGCTAAAACCCGGTAAACCCTAGCAGCAGATGCAGCGTCTAACGGTGGGGGTGAAGGGATGCGTCTCACAACCGCCAGCACAAGTGCCGAGACAACCCATTAGCCGCATCCATTTAGCCCTTGTGCCTGGCCACAAGTTCCCAGTTGACTGTGGGTAGCAGCACGCCTGGAAAGACCGCTCCCAGGCAGGACTTGAACCAGGTACCCCTCGCATCTCAATCATGGTCTTTGAATCATGGGATTTCACTAACCCACTATGCAGCTGGGTAGGATCCCCATATGTACGGTGTACGGATGTACAAAATCTCATAGAATCCCCTGAAATCCCGTACACCCGGTTGGGTGTTGACTGTGCAGGACCCTTTTGTATTTGCTGCTGTTCCCACTACGAACGTGCCTGAATGCATTTCACACGAAACCTTTTTCGGACAAGGATCTAGCTAGTCACTGGCGCTATTCGCAGTTTTTATGTAAAAAAAAAAAAAAAAAGTCTACACGCACCCCCACCCCCCTCTTTCTCCTCCCTCTGATCACAATTTCTTCCGGACCGGTTGGAATTATGCTGTAGAATATATCCTACATCTGGGATGCTCTGAACACTACCACGCTGATCTTAACATACTGTAGAAGCACTGAATTTAGCGAGTGAAATTTATAGGGTTGTCTGAGTCTGGACCAATTCGCGATGAAATCGTTTAGCGATCTGAGTTTCGGAGCTACGAAAAAGAGATGACTACACTGCACTGTACCCGCAGAATTTCGATTGGCGCGGCAAAACTTTAGCGAAAACACTCCTTTTGCTAGAATTGGCAAAGTATCACCAGGGCTAACATTAGCCATTCTACAGTAACCAGGTTAAGCTGAGCAATATTGTACCTTGTACCCGTGTGGTGATGAACGTATGACGAACAAATAATAGTCTAGTTGAGTGCCGGTTCAGGAAATAGAAAGATATTTCAAAATTTGACTTTTTCCTGTTCCTAGTATACTCTTTTAGGGTGGAATCAATTTTGAATAGCCAAATAGCCAAATATTCATTGCATCCCTATTGCACATGCCTTCAATTATGGTGTGTTTGATACCATTTTTGTGTACTGTGTGTGTGTGTGTGTGTGTGTGTGTGTGTGTGTGTGTGTGTGTGTGTGTGTGTGTGTGCATGTGTGTGTGTATGTGTGTGTGTGTATGTGTGTGTGTGTCCATGTGTGTATTACTCTTAATGCCACCAGGCACCACAGGCTCCGAGCCAGGTGAAGAGGAAAGGCCCGAAGAGCAGTCAACCTCACTGTCGACAGGAGCTAGCATTGGAATCGGTCTGGGACTGGGCGCGGTGGCTATTGCCTTGATTCTGCTTGCCTTTGTGCTCTACATCCGCAGGAATCAGCATGGACCAGCAAGGTCATCCGGTAACGGCGACGGAGGGATGGACACCTTCGCAGCTGCCGATGTACCTTACGATGGTTTGAACGATAGTGTGGAGAATCCCGTATACGGCGCTGATGAAGCGTAAGGATGATCTTGTTATGTTGCAATGAATAAGATAAAGTGCGCAGTCATTCTATGGTACCGTGTATCTGCTAGTAC